TATATATATATATATTTAGGCATGACCAAAATTTCAACTCAGATATTTTTCTGTGGCGGAAAGGGAACTTTGACTCATTCAGTTTGCAAAAGCTAACATGGACAAGTGATGAATAGGAAACAGAAACACTTAGCTGTGTTAGCTAATTGAAAGCAGCATTGTTTATCCATATCTGATCACAGCTTTTTACCTCAGTCATGGCAAGTTGTTTTTAATTCATGGAAAGAAAGGTAATATTTTTCAGGTACAAATCTTGTTCACATAAATTCAATCTAAAGACATTTTTGTTCTGTCTCTGCACACAACAGATCATTTGTTTTGTGGTTTCCTTTTTTTAACAGCTGTGTTTGAGCAGAGCACTCAACATAGTTATGTGTTTTGTTCTTTTTTTTTTACTTTTGCATGTTTTTGTACAGTCATGTCACAGCAAGTTAAACATATTACCAACTTCTTTTGTTTGTTTGTTTGTTCTCTTACCTTCCAATTGTGCCAGAGCATGTGACAATAAAGCAGGATAAGAGATAGTTCGGCCTGCAGGCAAAACATCAAAGCCACATACTTTTATTTAATAGTAGCTCAATTCAAAGGAATCATAATGAATTAATTTATCTTGGTCACTGCTGCACTGACCCATCTGCTTTTTGCAGTTATAACTTGTAGCTTTTGCTTCTTTTTCTAACCAGATTTGCTTATGCTTGCTTTGCAAGACTTGTCAGCTTGAGACAGCCAATGGACAAATATGTTTGTTTGGTTGTTTTTTTGTAAAGAAATGAGAGCAACGTCTATTTTTAATTGCCGGTTCTCTATATATATTTGCTGTCCGTTTATTTTCCTCCATTACATAAATGCAGCATTTRTTAGAGATTCCTCTGCACTTGGCACCATTCAAAGTTTTGGTTGTTCTTGCTGCTATAAAATGTAGCTTCTCACTCTGCAAACTCTCCACTGTGGCTGGACAACATATTGCATCTGAGGAATCTTGGTCAAAAGTTTGGTACTTACACAGGCATCGTGTCTTCTTGGTGGCTTTTCTCTCTTCCAGATGGCAGACAATTTCTGCTTTTGTAAACCCTTTATTGCTTTAGAGAGTCCCTCTCTTTCTCTGCCTGTCAGTCACAGAGAAGCCAAAGTTTGACATTAAATCTGCTGTTCGGACCCTCAAAGCTGTGGAGATAAGGAAGTGTTCAAAATGCACTGTTGACTGTCAGTTTTAAGTCCACAAACTACGCAATTTAATCAAGTTTGTAAGGAAAAAATGTCAGAATGAGCACACGATGTGTTTTATGTAGCCCTAGGTTAACTCAAAGACACAACTACTTCATATGCAGTTTTTATTCATATTTAGAAATGTCTAATTATATGTTAAAATTTATGTGGGTCAAAATAAAATTAGAAAATAATCTATTTTCCAAAGAATTATGAAAACGGATAAGTGGAATTATTTATTTGAAAAAGTACATTTATATTTGATGCACATTGACACCTCTTTTGTCAATCTTTTTTTTGTGTGAAATCAACTTTATCAAAAAAAAATCATCAATATTTGCAGGTTGAAGGGTGAACAGATGATTATTCCCAGTACAACCAGTTTCAACCAGTTTTAGAAACTCTACCTGGGACAAGCATGTCACTGTCCAAACTGCTTGTGTGTAAAATGTGTAGGAGATCCACATCTCTTTCATATCTGTTCCACCCGTCCTCTCTGTGTGTTTGTTTGTTGGGTTTGCTGTAAATGAAGGCACCTTTTCCTCCGAGCCACTTCACGCTCTTGACTGAAGGAAATCAGTTGTGAGTCCTTGTAGCTAGTCACACGTGCCAGTATGGGATCAATAATCTGATGTGTCTGTATTTAGTTTGTGAAAATTTTTTGCACATCACTGAAAGCTGACACATTTTTCCCAATCATATTTACTTGTGTTTGCAAGGGAAATATACTTTGCTGTAGCAGATTTTATGTAACAAAGGTTACGTCATTATAATAAAACAAATTTTTTATAAAAAAAAATAGTCACGTTTCTCGTCTATCTGTTTTTTTGCTGGCATTAAAACGGTGCAGGCGATTAAGCGGTAAAACACTACATTTCCCATGATGCTCAGATGTTGTGGGCGAAGGAAGCGAAAGCGACGAAGCTAGTTGTCTTACTTGATTATAAATTGATTTTATCAAATAAAATTAGCCGTTTTTTAAATGGTAAAATACTCCAGTGATTGCAAAACTTTTTGCTAATTGAATTAAGTTTGCAGCTTGGACGAGCAATTTTCTTCGAGGTTGAATCTCCTGAAAATAAGGTAAGTGTTAAATTTGGCTTTAGCAAACGAAGCTAACTATCCTTCTTAGCGTTACTACAAATTACCGAGAGGTAATGATGAAAACATGTTGTCGTCGTTAGAAGTAACGCTGGCTTGTACTGTGTTGTACTGTGTTGTCTTTACCGAAGTATTTTCTACTAAATTAGAAATACTGTCGTATTTGTTTTTGGGGGTGTTTTTATTTTTCTCCCATTTAAAATTCAGCTAACAACGTKAGTCGTCATTTCATGGTTCCTGCTCGTATTTTGCAACAGATGAAGTCATGATTTAGTTTTAATAAAGTATATTTACGGTGGTAATTTTGTCACTTTTTCTTTCTTTTTTTAGCGGAGACATCCACTGTGAATATCAGACTGACGATGATAGCGTTTGAATTGTCAAAACACTGAGTTCTCCCAAAGAAGAAGTCTAATGAAAAATTACTACAACGACACAAAATGTAAGAATCTTGGTATTTAAAGTAAAACAACAACAGTGTTGTTGTTGTTTTACTTTAAATACTTTAATTTTAAAATCATTGAAGTAAAGCTATGATAAAAGTTTGTTGAGGCTTTTTTTGTGTGTTGCAGTGTTATTCTCAGATACCTAACATTTAAGATGCACATTAAACTGAATTAAAAGTGAAAAACCTTAAAAATTGAAACCWTAATCTGCTAAATGCACATTCCACAGTGCATAATGGTAGAATATTAATTTCATGTTTATTTAATTTGTATCATTTCATCACAGTTTTGAATAATTACATTTTGAGGCAATATTTTTTGTGCTGAAACAGAATTATAACATAATGGYATTTTTGGAAATGATTCATTGGCAGAAGCAGGCAGAAAAAGCTGTTGTTTTCGTTGTTCCCTCAAAAGTAGAAAATGGATTATTCATGACTTATATTTCAGTGAACTTTTTGTAGCTTAGCAGATAATGAAAAKGGAAACACAAARGCAAAAGTTTTTATTGCTGATCGATTTCTGATTTACTTCATCTAAATCATCATTTCAGCTGATCTGATTTGATGATTAGTTTCATAAATCATATTTGCCTTTATTTCTTTTAACAGCCAGTATGGAGGAAAAGGCAAATGGCTCAGTCGACACMAAAAGGTATCGTCTACAACGAGTTTACGTTTTCGTTGACTAAAGTTTTGAAATGACTTACCCAGTTACTGTTTCAGTCAGTGTGTATTAAGGTGAGTTTCACCCCACAGCCCAGTGGAGAATGGTCAGCTGCCAGACCCGTCCAACTGGGGAGTTACCGACGTCGTCAATTATTTTAAAGCAACAGGGTTTGAGGAGCAAGCTACAGCTTTCCAGGATCAGGTTGATTATTTTTGCTTTTATTTCACGGTATCGCAATTTCATCGTGTCAGATCCTAAACTTTATTTCCTCTTTTCTTCTCTATCTGACAGGAAATCGACGGAAAGTCCTTGCTCCTGATGACRCGTAATGACGTCCTAACGGGGCTGTCGATAAAACTCGGCCCAGCGCTGAAGATCTACGAGTACCACGTGAAGCCGCTGCAGACTCAGCACCTGAAAAGCAACGCCTCGTAGCACCGCCGATCGTTCCCGCYCAACCACCTCAGTGACAATCATCAGTGTCAGGTGACCCCTCTCCTGGTGAGCTCCGGCTTCACAAAGACTCCACTGCCCACAGTGGCACCTTAGACAGGAACCCCCCCTCCAAAAAAAAATGGTTGGCACAAGGTGTCCACTCAGCTGTTTACCCTTTCAGCCATTTGTATTTCTGCTGCTTGAGATATGTATTTTTTGTGTGTTTTTATTTAAAAGAAAGAAACTTTGGAGTGAGTACTCTGCGGGTATGATTTGTGTGTGTGTGTGTGTGTGTGTGTGTGTGTGTGTGTGTGTAAAGTCAAATAACCTAAGATGTTTTTTAAGAGTATTTGTA